TTTTGGTTCTCCAAACTTTCACCTCTTTCTTCTTTCTCCCTTCTCTTCTTTTTTTCTCCTTTCCATCTTTACTAGTTCTAAGTTAAAATATGGTATCAAAGCACTGATCTAGGTGGTAGAACACTTCTAATCGAGCTATTTTCTCCTTGGAGCTTTTTCTTTTCGGACTGTGAGAGAAAAAATAAACCCTCATTGGATTGACCTAACAACTTTTCCTTTATTTTTTGTTTTTTTTTTCTTGGTCGTAGTACCAAGATCAGTGGTTCTTTGTGACAACCTTGCTATAAGGGAGTTTTTCCTTGAGGTGTGTGCCTTGTTTATGGTGTTGTAGTGGATCATGGTAAGTTACCCCAAGTCTATTTCTTGTATTTTCCTTTCGTATATACCTCTGCTCAGAAAGATTATAGGTGCTTTGACCCAATCACTCATAAGTACTATGTTTTTATGGATGTTTCCTTTTTTCAAGTTTGAGCTCTTTTATCCTACTCCTTAGGAGGAGATTTATGAAGAGGAGAAGCAAGTTCATTAGGTTCATCTTCCTTACATCCCATATTCTACATCTTTTTGTGTTTTCTTTCATTAGCGCTATAGAAATCATCAGAGTTCTAAGAGTGTGGAGCTCCTAGATTTTGTACAGCTAAAACCATCAAACTCCCAAGAGGTAAGCCCTCAAACAAGTACTTTCATCCTCGTTGATTCTTCTATTCCAGTTTCTATTGATGACCGTGGATGATCTTTATATCCCTATTGCTCAAAGAAATGGTGTAAGGTCATGCACTATTAAACATCCCAATACCCATATGTGTCCTATGATCATGTTTCTCCCTCTTATTATGCCTTCTTGTCTACTATTGATAGTATCCCCATCCCCAAAAGTGTTGTAGAGGCCTTGACATGTGGAGCTCCTAGATACTATGCAATTGAAACCATCAAACTCCCAGGAGGTAAGCCCTCAATCAGGTACTCTCATCCCTATTGATTCTTCTATTCCTATTTTTGTTGATGACCTTTATATCCCCATTACTCAATGAAATGGTGTTAAGTCATGCACCACTAAATACCTAATTACCCATAATGTGTCATATAATCGTGTTTCTCCCTCTTATTTTGCCTTTTTGTGTACCATTAACAGTATCCCCATCCCCAAAAGTGTTATAGAGGCCTTGAGATGTCTTGAATGGACTAATGCTATGAATGATGAAATTAATGCCCTTCATAAGAATAATATCTTGGAGTTGGTGGACCTTCATAAAGGGAAAGAGCCAGTAGGGTGTAAATGGGTGTTTTCAATAAAACATAAGGTGGATGGGACAGTAGAAAGGTATAAGGCAAGGTTGGTGGCAAAAGTCAATACTCAAGTATATGTCATTGATTATGTGGAGACTTTTGCCTTGATAGCAAAGATGAACTCCATTCATGTCCTTCTGTCTCTAGTTGCTAACTTTGATTAGTAGTTACATCAGTGTGATATCAAAAATGCTTTCTTAAATGGTGACTTGGAAGAAGTGTAATTTCCATGCCAAAGGCAATGAAGACAATGCATGTAGGCTAAAGAAGCCACTGTATGGGTTGAAACAATCCCCTAGTCCTAGAGGTTGGTTTAGCATGTTTCTATGGTGGTTCAACAATTGGTTTCAGGCTTTTCTAGTTTCACCATACCCTCTTTGTTAAGAGGGGTTAGGGAAAGGTTGTAGTGTTGATAGTTTATGCAGATGACATTATCACCATTGGTGACTAGAGCTCTGAGATATAGAATTTGAAGGAGTTTTTATTTATCCAATTTGAAGTGAAAGATTTAGGACCACTACACTATTTCATTGGAGTCAAGGTTGCCTGTTCTTAAAAGGGTATCTTTGTTTCTCTAAGGAAGTACATCCTGGATCTCTTGCAAGACACACACAAATTAGGTGCAAAGCATTTGATACTCCTATTTATGTGAATCACAAATTGGGTGGTTGTGATAGAGAATCTTTGAAGGATGTGAAAAAGTTTTAGAGGTTGGTGGGAAGATTGTTGTACTTATCAATGACACATCCTAATATTCCCTATAGTTTGAGGGTCTTGAGTCAGTTTATGGGCCCATGGTGCACTTTTGGGGCTTTCTGCTTGATGTGTTTCTCTTGGGATAAGCTTTTCTAGCATGCAATTGGATTAGAATGCCCTGAATTATGGGCTGACTGTGCACATTATGGAACCTAATTGTCTAAGATATGAGTAATTCTAATTCAAAATTATTATTGTGGCATCATGTAGGAGACTCGTTAGTCTCTATCAGGTATATTTAGATCGTTTACTTAAGGTTCTCTCATGGTTCGAGTTCTTTCTATGTTAGAAAAGTATTGTGTACCTGAGTTGAAGCCTGAACCCTAACCCTACTCCAACCTAACTTTTCTGGGTTGAGTTTAGCTTACTTGATCTTGGGTTGGGTTTGGGTTGACTCAGTTTCTTTACTTTGTTTTGCTAAAATGTCTTATTTCTTAGACTTAAGATTACGGGATATAGGTTCATTGATTTTAGCATTATTTTATGTACAAGAACAAAGAAATAGGGCAATGACCCAAAACCTAATAAGGCAGCACACATAATCTATTTCTACTTTCAACACTCTCCCTTAAGTTAGCACTAGTTAACTTTCCTGAAGAAATTCGTAGCCTTTCAGAAATTTCATCAAACACATGGAAGGCAAACAGAACCTTGGTAGTTGGTACTGGAAACACTTGAACAAGATAGCCACATGAATCGTCAAGTGTTTTCAACTTTCAATACATTGAACAAAAAACTTTCTTTGTTTTTCTTGAATTTTTCTTTTTTTTTTTTTTGGGCAAACTTTCAAGACTCCTCTCTTGAGACCTGCCATCCTTCAATTTCTCCAAAAACTCATCTGAAAACAGGTAATTCAAGAATGAATAATATCTCCACCAATTATTAGCCAATAGACCAGGAAATCACTTCCGAAAACATTGTAGGAATATCCTAAAAATGAGTTGATTATAAAATAGATAGGGAGAAGAGGTGGATGCTTACCCCTTACTTCACAAGAAGCCTCTCTATTACTTCCTACCCCTATAGAATTATGTAAGTGACTAAACCTCTGACTTTCATTTGATTTTGGGGCAAAATCTCTAGAACATCATCCGAGGCACCAAAAACTCTAAAAGATTCTTAAAGATCTTCTAAAACTGAGGCAATTTAAGAATAATATATGATTACTGTTTTAGGAAAAATGAAATTACTGTTTTTAATAATTCCCAGAAGTACAATTTATAGTAAAATCACAACTTACTATTCATGGCAAAATAGTAAATTAAACAAGAGGAGAAAGATTTATAATAGGGAGATCAAGGACACCGAGGAAATTAAACAAAATATGAATGAAAACTGACGAAGAAGAACGATACAAAAAATAGAATAATCACTAAAAGAACCATATGGTTCTGATCTGATTATAATGAACTTCAGATTTGATCAGAAAAACAGTACTTTCAACAAATATCTTAAACTTGAGTTCGGCTTCAGTCAGTGCAATGCCTATTTTTTAAACAGCCTTTACAGCCTTGCTTTGGGAATATTTCCATATTTATGTGCTTTGTTTCATGAGAATATATTTTCAATGCAAGGTTACAAGAGGCTGTTCGAACGGTGTGAGCATGAGCTTGCAATGACCGTAGCCGAATTCCTTAAACTCAAACCTCTCAGTCCTAGACCTATGCTAACCCTGAATCTGATGTAAAAATACTTTGAGAAACCATTCCTGTCATTATGTAATGAAAGAGAACAAAGGTTCTTTGCTATATCCATATACAAGTCATATGAAAATCTTATCACTATATCGTTGTAGAATGTAGATATAAATGTATAAATGGCAAGAGCAACTGAGCAAATATTCTTGACACTAGATCATGAAAGTAAGCCCCTTTATCCAAGAAGTAAGTTGATAAATTCTCTTAAAAAGTGAACATCATTTTCCTTTTTGTCCATGCATACTTTGTACAAATACTTTGAAGGGAAAATTCCCAATTAGTACCTTGTACTTTGGGCCTAGTGTCACTTTGTTCTCCGAACTTTAAAATGTGACAATTCAGTACCTGAATTTTCAAAATAAGATAATTCAGTACCTGCTGTTAACTAGTTGTTAACCAGCCGTTAAGTGGTATTTGTAAAGGACACAAATGCCCTTTGAGTGTCATCTAATTTTCTTTATCAACCATCCAAACATTGACAAAAAATTAAGTCTCAAATCCTTGCCTCTTCTATTCAAGAAAGTTGGGGTCACCAGAATGCCCACTCAAATGTGACCCCAACTTTCTTGAATGGAAAAAGCAAAGATTTGAGACTATTAATTTTTTGTCAACATTTGGATGGTTGATAAAGAAAATTAAATAACACTTGAAGGGCATTTGTGTCTTTTTCAAATGCTACTTAATGACTGGTTAACAGCTAGTTAATGGCAGGTACTGGATTATCATGTTTTAAAATTTTGAGTACTGAATTGTTGCATTTTAAAGTTTGGGGACGAAAATGGCACTAGGCCCAAAGTACAGGGTACTAATCGGGAATTTTCCCTAATTTTAAATATAATTTCTATGTTTATTGGTTAAAGAAGATTTGGAATTTTGAGCTATAAAATCTGGAAGAGAAAAAGTACTTATATTCCCATTATCTAGCATTGTTTTAGAATATACTTGTTCTTATCATATTCTAGAAAAAACTTGCTATGATACAAAAATCTCTTGGATTTCAAAATAAATATTCCTTTCCTATTTGCTAAGAAACAAACTTTCTTGTAACAGAGACTTTTTTGTTACCCAAGGTGAGTTTGTGTATCTATAAGTGTGCATCTACTTCCTCTTTATTTTTTATTGCATGTCTCAGGTTCTGTTTGCTAAGAAACAAACTTTCTTGAAACAGAGATTTTGTTTTCTTACACAGGGTGAGTTTGTGTATCCATAAACGTTCACCGAGCTGCCAATTTTGTGTTGATTTTTTATTGCATGTCTCAGGTTGTGTCAGTGAAGCTAGATGAATGGACAGATGAGGAAGTTGATTCCTTGGTCAATTTAGGTGGAAATACTAGAGTAAACATGAAATATGAAAATTCTATTCCAGATTATGTCAAAAAACCAAAGCCAGATTCCTCCATAGAGGAGCGTTCTGATTTCATCAGGTAAAATGAAGACAACACTTGTTCTAACCGTTTTCAGAAGTCTGTAATCATTCTGAATCAAATCACAATGTCTTGAATATTCAGGAGAAAATATGAGTTGCAACAGTTTTTGGACCCTCCTAATAGTTCATCTCATAGCATTTCCTCATCAGTGAATGCTATTGTACCTTATGAGAAGAAAAATTTTGAGAAACAAGTCGCTAGCATCCGTTTTAATGCAATTGGACATGCATTTCGGAACAGCTGGAGAAGAAAGGAGTCTGAGCACAAGCCTACAAAGAAATCCAACTCAGAGGTATGACTATAAATGTCATAGATCAACCATAGTTTTGGTGTATACTTCATTTCAGCCATACCTGTTTCTAATGAATAAATATTTCAGCATTTAGATTTTCAGTTTTCCCTGGATAACAGAATCTCATTACTATGCATCAACTGTTTATAGCCGGGTATGGTCGAATTCGTTGGTTTGATAAAGGTCAATGTTGTCAAAGGCACCAATCTAGCCATTCGTGATGTGGTGTCTAGTGATCCTTATGTAATCCTTTCATTGGGACAGCAAGTAAGCGTCTTTCCCTGATGGAATCTGTCTTAAGTATTATGACAAACTAGAACATAAATAACTTCATTAATAAATAACAGTTCTTTGTTAATGTGACTGCAGTCAATGAAGACTCGTGTGATAAAGAACAATCTTAACCCAGTTTGGAATGAAAGAATATTGTTATCAATTCCAGAACCAGTCCCACCTCTTAAAGTGGTAAGCTGATATCTTTTTCAGTTTCAAGCAACTCTACTGCATTACAATGTTGTCAATCTCAGGCCGGAGCTGGGGAGCTGGAGCTGTAGAGAAAACTTGAATGACCATCTGGTCTAGTCCGAGTCTGACAACACTCTTGTAACATCGATCTTATGAAATAAGAAACCAACTCTTAGAAGCATTAATTGAACTGACACCACTGAAATATCACATTATTTCATTTCTGCAAATTTCTAAGTGTTCATTTATCATCTGGTGTCAGGTTTTCCTTCCTTTTCTCCATATATGTTAAATGTTTGACAGTAATTTATCTTATTTAAAATGTAGAGAAGCATTTATGATAGATAATCAACATGAAGTGTCACCTTGAGATGCCCTGAAATATATCCTGTAATGCCAATAGTTGAGAGAAAGTATTGGATTAATTACACAAGGAGAGGAGAGGAGAAGAATGGAGAAGAGGAGTTAATCAAACAAGGTTACTTTGGGCTGTTCACCCTTCTCATTCACTTATACAATAAGAAAGTTAAAATGACAACAATACCCCTGATAAGTAGTATGAATATTACCAAACTACCCTTAGCACACAAAAACAATTATATTTAATCTTCTCGATGCTACAAGTACTCAAGCTAGGCATAAATGTTAGTCATGCCTAGCTTGCTAGGGCAATCATGTGCACAGGGTTTTGTACACAACATTCCTTTTACATTTTCCGAGACAAATTTAGGATACAAACATTGCCTGAGAAAATGGCAATGGTACCAAACATGCCCTTATTCTATAGATAGTTGATACTCAGAAAGGGTTACACTGCCTTTACAGCTATTATCTTTTTTCGTAATGAAGTGTCAGCTATGTTTTTATTATGCTTTTACACTCAACTTTGCAATCATTGATTATTTGTTGCTTCTCCAACTAAGTTTTTAGAAATGAAAGTGTAGTACCTAGAAGTAAACCACTCATAATCAATGGAACCAACACTTTCACCATCTATGTAAACTTCTATCTTAAAGTTTCCATAATCCAAGCAAAGAATCCCTCTCAGGCAACCCTTTCAAATAGCATAAAGTCCACTTTGTTACTTTTATGTTAGACCCTATGCTGATGACATATTGATCACTCAGCACAATATTTATTTTTTGATCAGAAAATGAAGAATTTTATTTATTTAAGATAATATGTTACATAATTACAACAAATGCAAAGCAGATATTGCATAACAGAGAGTTACATTAAAGTCCCTAACAGCTACTACCTATAAACTCCCTGTTTGGCTAATCAATCAGCCATCCCATTTGTAGCTCTCCTGATCCATGTGAATGAGGCATTGAGTGCCCTTGCTAGGCTTTAAATCTCCCTAAGGGGATGTCTATAAATCGAAGGCATATTACCCCTTGAATTGGTCCACGATATCACAATTTTTGAGTCCCCTTTTACCTCCAAATTCTTAAGATATGCTTCCCTGGCAAGTTTTGACTCCAATAGTAGATATAAAAGTTCAATCTTTAGAGAATCACCTTCCCCCCAAAGGTCTTGAATAGTTGGCTAATACTTTCCTTGAGGAGTCACTGATCAAAGCTCCCATCAAAATTCAGCTTAACTTTTTCGAGACTTGAGGGCTTTCACTCCATCACCTTTCTTTCTCTCTTCATAGAAGAGTGTGCCACTTCATTCCATGCTCTTACTATATCAGTAATTGAGAAGTTTTGAAAGAGCTCAATTGTTTTCACCCGGTGTGCAATTTTTATCTTTATGGCCTCCRCTAGTTCTTCATTTGACTTGAATTTCTCGTTGAAAATTCTTGCATTCCTTTCCTGCCATATGTTTCACACCAATACTACCCTAACTGATTTCTACATGACCCTTCCTCTTTTTGTTGGCTTCCTTAGGAAATTTGGGTTCAAGAGGCTTACTACACCCTGGGGAGTACTCCACCTGCAACCAAAGAGGGAACAAAAATATTCCCAAACAATGGGCACAAACGGGCAACGGATCTGTAAATGGGGTAGGGATTCACCATCTGTAGAGCAAAGGATACACATGAGAGGAGAGACATTTATTTGACCTCTTTTCTTGAAGCATGTTACAGGTGTTCACCTTCCCAAGAAAAACCTTCCAGGATAGGATGCTTTAATTTTTGGTGGAATGAGCTTGCTCCAAATCTCTTTCACTGGGAAATTCTCACCCCCAACAGGATTTTGCACTTTGGTACAAGAGTATTAAAAAAGGAAGCACATGTAAAGGTGACATCTAATGAAGTAGACTAAACTCTAGTGTCCTCCAAAGGTTGATTTAAGTTTGTCAAGAAATCAAATAAGGGACTTATACTCATTATCCCTCAAATCCCTTCTAAAACCAAAACCCTAACTTGGACCTAAGTGAGAAATGGTGACAAAACTTGATATAGATTGTAACTTGTAGTTAGAAACTGAATAAAATTAAAGGAAATGAAAACAGAAAGGAACATCATCCAGCCATAGGTCTTCCCAAAAGAGCACATTAGGACTACAACCAACATCAAATCTAATGAGATTAAAAAAGATTGGATACTCCACTTGTATTGCTTTCCATGGAGAGCTCAAGAATGATGTGGGAGCTACCTTTGCATCCCAACCATTGTTCATCCGCCTGTGAATGCTTTTATAATCTTATGCCACAACATGTCTCTTTCCAATGGAAACCTCCAAAGCCACTTTTCTAACAGAGAAGTGTTTTTTTGTTCTAAGTTCCCCATTCCTAGGCCGCCTTTCTCCTTTGTTTGTCTAACTTGTTTCCACTTTACTAGGTGGTTCCTCTTTTCTTCCTCAGGTTCTCAGAGAAAGTCCCTCATAAYTTTTCTTAATTGTCTTGCTACTTTAATTAGAATTCTAAAGGTGGGCAAGAAGTAGACTAGCAGGCTTGCTAGAGTTGCTCTAATTAGGGTTATTCTCTCACCTATTGATAAGTAATTTCTCTTCCACAATGCCAACTTCCTTATAAGCCTCTCTACCACTGGCTTCCAAAAGACTTTTGATCTTGGATTCCCTCCCAAAGGTAGCCCAAAGTACTCCAATGGCCATTGTTTAACCTCACACCCCCAGAGTCTCAACTAACACTCACAAACTTTCATCTTTCAAGTTAATCTCCGCTATACAACTCTTTCCCCAATTTATCTTCGACTTAGAAATCGATTCAAAGAAACTAATGAGCTCTTATAGTTTTCTTATACACTCTTGGTTACCTCCCTTACAGAATAATATGATGTTATCTGTAATCCTATCCTCCATCCTCTAAATAGGTAGCTCTAATCGGCCTCTATGATTATCCTATTTAGAACATCAACATTTAAAGTGAAAAGGAAGGGAGAAAGGAGATCCCCTTGTCTTAACCCTCTTTTTGGTAGAATATAATCTTTAGCCACACCATTGATCATGATCAAGTATTGCACTGAGCTTAGGCAGCCATTCATCCACATCCTCTACCACTCCCCATACCTAATTCTCCCCATAATTTCTAGAAGAAAGACCAGTCCACAAAGTCATAGACCTTCTCTAAATCCAACTTGCACACTATTGAAAGAGTGCTATATTGGGTGTACTTGGGCAGTAGGGTAATTAAGTAATTATGTGTTTAGAATAAGAACATTCTAGTCCACTATCTTTGTTATAATTAAGGACATATTTGTAATTTTCCATTTACTTAATGTTAATATAAAGTTGGATCGGCTGCTATGAGGCGATTAAGTCATTCTAATCTCTCTTGAATACAATTCGGTAGCTTTCTCCTTCTCTTTCCTATTCTCCTCCTCCTCTCTTTTCTCCTCATTTCCTTTTTGTTCTAGACTTGCCACAACCGGATTTCTTGAACAATCCTTCCTGAAGACCTTCCTGTACATCAAATCAAAGAGTGCCATGTCAACACTCTCTCATGTTAAATTTTCACATGTGCAAGTTAGAATAACAGACATTTCAAACGTCTTTCCTATTTTTAGTATATTAAAATTTTAAAATAAATAAAAAAATACGGATTAGGGTTTCTTTTTCCTATTTCATTCAAATAAAAAACAAAGAAAATTAAACAATTGAGAATAAGAGTTTCGCCTTGACTTCCGATGTCCAAGAATTAAACACATGAAAGCTGAGACTCTCTGACTGAAAACCAACTATAATAAAAATTCGAGGTAAAGTATTTAACTAACCTTCATTGTTGATTTTAATATGTAGATAGACAGTATTAATATGTAGATAGACAGAGAATCTATCACCAGTCATAGTTTTATGTTAAGAAGGCTAACCACCAATTTGGAACTTTATATAGTTCACCTTTCTCTATCGATTTTAATATGTAGATAGACAATAAAAGATTCAAAAGAACAGAGAATCTATCACCAGTCATAGTTTTATGTTAAGAAGGCTAACCACCAATTTGGAACTTTATATAGTTGATCGTTTATAGCTTTTATTGGGATTTGCATAGCATCCGCCCTCTTCCCCCTTCCTCTTGCCAATGCTTCGTATCACCATCGTAAAGTCGTCCTCCACTATAACCTGGATATTGGACTTAGAGACATCGAGGACGTCCAGATAGAACACTTACACCTTGGGGTTTTGAGGATGTCGACGGGGATGCTTGATGCACCTCCTTCGGTTGCTAATAGTTTGGACGAGTGGGAGAACAAAGGGAAAATGAGCTTCTCTATGCTGGTCTTGGGGGAGTTAAGCAACTAATTCACTGCCAATGCGAGGTTGTCGTTAAAGAGCGTCGACACTACTCTCATCCTGGCTGCATGCCTTTTTAGATCTAGGGTAAGATGGTTAGATTAGACAATGGAGAGATCAGACAATAATAATGTCCAAAGAAAGTTGAAGCTGATGACCAACTTGATCAGGAGAGCCAGCACTTTCTTCTTTGATCACCATCGTCGCCTAGTTTCTACTGGTTTTATTTTAGCTGTGGATTTAATCCGAGAGGGAATGCTGTGAATGCTTTTCCAGGTTAGTAACTGATGTTGTGATGAT